GCTGCAGTGTAGTTGTCATAACAGAGCCTCAGCCACCATGGCCAGGAACTTTCAGAAATAATAGAGATGTACTGATTCTGCCCTCTTGTGTGTAATAACTGCTGCTACCAAAGAAGCAGCTCCAGACCCTTTTGTCTCTTGACCCCTCTGCCTTGCTTCATGGGATCAGGAGAGAAGAGGGATCCCTCTAGACTTGGGCTCACAGATGTTGGGCCTCCCAGTTGCCACAATTTTCTGTTCACTACAGATTCCTCATTCTGTCACAGCAGCACAAGATGGATTAAGACACATTCCTATATTCAGTTACTTTTTGAAGCCAACTTTTGGGCCATGTGAGATGGTCCTATGAGATTTGCCAGCCCACAGTGGAGAGAAATTGCCCTTCTATCTGGAACAGTTAGGCCACTGTGAACTTCCAGTCATCACCCTGAGCTTCAGATGTAAAACATTTATTTTTGGAAACAGCTTGTCTTCCTGGTCTGCATAGTACACTAGTAGCTTGTAGGTTGGAAAAACTGTCTGCATTCCAAGTCTGCCCAAATTTCAAACTAGAAAGAAAGAAGAGAAAGAATGACTATATTTTTCTGACACAGTCTCCTGACAGTCACCCCCAAAAGGAAGCACAGGTGTTCCTGCTACCCACACTTGACCAAGAGTGCTCTGGGCCTCGTCTGGAGGCAGCGTCGCCCTCCTGCAGGAGGTCACGCTGGCCACCCTTTGGAAACACAATGCACATCTTTAACAAGATGCCTTAAAAATTATAAAGTCAACTTCAAGGTGACATTCATAGAAACATGCAGAAAACTACTTGCATAGTCATCACTGTTATTACCTTTATTTTTATGGGGGAATCTTTTGTGTTTTACATTTAAAAGCATATGCACTTATTCACCATGTCATCTAAACTTCACATTCATTAAACAGAGCATATTTCTTGCTTCACTTGAGCTCAGATTTACTGCTAAGCCTAAGACCACACAGCTAGAAAGAGGTGGGGACAAGGTTAGAGTCAATATTTCTTTGGTGGTTTCTAGTCGAGGTAGATCCATGGCCATGCTGAAGTGGGATCAGGGTTCGGCACACTGATAATTACCTGTTGGGTTGCCTTAGACTAGGGCCTTTGGGCAGAGCTTCCATGTAGAGTCAGTACCTATACATTATAATCTGGAAGATCAACATCTAATTATAAATGATTACAGATGTACCAACATATTAAATGTTTGTATTATTTATTTTTTAAGGGTGAAAGAAGTGTCAAGACTTAAATTTTCTATTCATGTACTTTGGTTGAAATTCCAAATTAATCTGATTGAAACATTTTTTATGCAATATGTCAAAGAATCCCTTACCCTCTTCTCTCCTGTTTCCAATCTTCTGCCCTCCCTTTTTTCATCTTCTTCTCCTTCATTTTCTGCCCATCTGGCTTTTTCATTTCTTGAAAGTTCCAACTCTCCTTGTGTATGGACGAACCCTGACACACTCAAAAGAAGGCAGATGCTTGCAAAAGCTCTAATCTATACAACTATGGGACCTCTTAGAGTGAGACTCTGGTTATAAAATAACAAGAAAAACTGTCCCTGGAGACATAGGTGGCTCTTCACCCCATGGAGAGGAAAGGGCAGCACCCCAAGGTATGGATCAGAGCTTGAATATGGAGGCAGTGTTTCTCTCCCATCTTGGGATGCTCAGAGTCTATTTCATGACAGGCAAGAAAGTCTTCAATAGGCAGAGGGTCACTTCTGTCTGACAAAGAACATAAGCAGGGATGAGCAGGAAAGCGAGCACAGTGGTTTTGGCAAAGTGGCTTTGCTGAAGAGAGAGAAGGATCACTTCCTTCTGAACGCTAGGTGGCAAAAACCAGGGTCCCAGAAAGGCTGGCTAAATGAGGGTTGTCTTCATGGAAGAAGAGACCGGCATGAGACTAACACAAGCAAGTTCTTCCCCCATCCTCTCCATGACCCAAGGTGGTGTCCCATGATTCAGGGACACCTGCAAAGACACCTGCATTGTATCTGAGCAGCAGTGAGAACATGGCACAGAAAATCCCCATAGTGAATGAGAAATGTGTCCTCCTGGGATTGAGTGGATTCTAGTAAGACTACTTAAACCCTGTGATCTCATCTGAAAGTCTGCTCACAGAGGAGTTTCATATCCCTTCAAAATCAGTTATTCAAAATATATTCTACAAAATATCCTCAAAACTTTCTGAACAAAATTAAGTGGCATCATCATGTGTACAATAAGCCTAGTATGTGCCAGATTATGAGACCTTGATTTATTTTATCTTCATGTCTATAATATTCCCAGAAAGTCATTGTAGATGTGCACATTTTTCACATGAAAGCTGTTACTAGAAGAGGTGAGGTCACTGCCTAAAAAGACAAGTGAGTGAATTGTTTTGCCAGCTGTCCCTTCTAGCAGCAGATGGCTCCTGCTGCTCTGACCTACAGAATATTTATCCCATCCATCCTCTGCCATGCTTTTGGCTTGGCTTGGCTTATATAGATCACCAGGCCTTGACAATGACAATGGAAATGAAAAGACGAGAGTAACAAATGAGAACAGAGATACGTCTTGCGCAGAGTCATGTCTATGTAAAAGCTGTGTCAATCTGAATCCCACAGGCCGCAATAAGGATGGTTTGAGCCAATGATTTTATTTGTTTTTTCATAATGTGGAAGTTAGAGTAGGTGCATTCCTTAGCAGGCTTGGGAATGGCCTGCGGCTTTCCATGCTTTGCAGTTCCTCCTCTGAGGCTGCATAGGGGCTGGTTTAGCTGCCACAGTGCATTGGGAGTGAAACTGATTCTGGGTCTCTATTGCTGAGGGACTTAAGTTACCTGTGAATGAAGCAGAAGACATTTGCATAGCATTTTCTTGTATTGTCAACTCATTTTTTAATCAAGATGTGGTATATAACTCTTTTCATTGTGTTTAACAAGGCATTAACTCTTTGCTAGGAAATTAGTGAGTTATGTTAATTCACTGGATACCTTATTTTCTCACTTATTAAATAAATATATGTCAGGATGAATTGACACAGTGTTTTTTCTATAGCAACATTATGGTTTGTGTCTATTTGTCCTCCCAAAGCCTCATGCAGTCATGGGGTGACTTCTAGAATTTGAGATTATAATGCTGGGATTATGGGTGTGAGTGCTATGCTCACCCTGGGGCAGATAATCTGCATACAAATGTAGGGAGGAGAGAGAGGCTTTCTAGCTGCGTAGCTGCTGCTTCTCCCTTGGCTCTTTGGTGTTTTCTGCTGCCATGAACTGCTGCCCTCTGCCAAGTGTCACTCTGGCTTGGAGCCAGCTGAGTATGGACTGAAACCTCCACTAACTGTGAGCTAAATAAGCCTTTCCTCCCTTAATTTGGGGTGTCGTGCATTTGGTCCCAGCAACAAGAGAAAAGTCACTAAGAAAAGCAATGTCTTGGTTCAGGCCAGTGCAAAAAAAAAAAAATAAATAAATAAATACCAGGAAGTAGCCAGCTTATTTATTTATTCACTATTTTTAATTTTTATATATGTAATACATGGTCTACGGGGTCTTCAGGGTCTCACTACATAGATCAGACTTATAGTGATCCTTCCCATTTATCAGCATCACAAGCATTGGGATTACCAGCATATGCACCACTCCCGGTCTCTATCACCATATCAGCATGCCCCAGGGGCAGGGCCAGCATGGCAGGCCAGGGATTCAACCTCCGGCCCTTGCATCTGCCTAAGCAGGCACTTTACTCCACTGAGCTATCTGGCCAGCCTTCAGCGGGCAGTTTATAACAGTAGAGCTTATTTCTCAGGGCCTCAAAGATGGAAGTCTGAGGTCAAAATGCCAGCACAGTTGGGTTCTGGTAAGAGTTTCTTCTAGGTACGCAGACTGACAGATTCTCATTCTGTCCTCCACTGGTTGACACAGTGAGGGTCTAATTTTGTGACCTCTTATAGGAATATCCTAGTCACTGAGGACTCCATGGTTGGGAACTAATCACCCCCCACACTTCCGACCTCTAATTACTGTCCCCTTGGATGTTAGATTTTAACATGAATGTTGAAAAGATACAACATCTTGTTCACAAAGAGGAATTATCAAGATGTTTGCCTCTTATTTGAGAGTCTTAGTTTCTTTGTATTAAAACCACCCTAGGAATTTGCTATGAGGATTAAAGAAAGTAGCACCTTTTGAAAGAACTTTGGAAGCTTTCAAATGCCACATAGTTGAACATTACTATGCATACATAATCCTGATACTCTATACATAGAATATCATTTATCTTTGAATGTATGTTTTTTCTGGCCATGAAGCTTCCATGTTAAGAACTGGGAGGAAAACACACATTCACTTCCCACAGTAACCCTGCTCACTACATGCAGGAAGATCTTTTAGTCCTTTGTCCTCCTGAAATTTAACTTAATTTCGAAATAGCATTTTAGTCATTGTGCTATAATAGAACCTAAAGAGCTAGGAAACTTCCTTACAACTTGATGTATGTAAGATTAGAAATAAGCCCTTACCTAAAATTCATGGTGTAGAGTTCTTGATATGTTACTTGCAGACATCCCTCGGGAGAGATGGACTTTGACCACACTAGAGGATCCTGGTAGGAGGAAGGGTGCTACCCTCTCTTTAGTCCCTTTTCTCCTGACTTTTTGGATGGGAAAGTTATGAAAGAATTCACAAGGGAGGGGACCTGTGAGCATACACAGAATTTATCAAGCACTGGACTCCAGCCATGAGCACTGCCCGCTGTGAAAGTAACTTTTCCAAGTTCATATGCCACGTGAGACATTGAACAAGGCTGTCTGAAGATTCAGCCCAATTCCATGAGCAAATCTCTGAACACATATCTTTTGAGATCTTGTTCATCTGTGATTTTAAGCTTTGTGATGTAATTTGGAACCATCACTTTCCTAACATAGATATGTGGTTGGGCTGCAGGTGCAGGAATTGCAGGTGCAGGTACTGGATTCATGGGCTCCTGGTTCTTGCTTTGCAGAGAGCAGCAGCCTGCATTCAGCCTGTGTCCATGAGAGCACTGTGCATAGCCGGGTCTTCCAGATCTTATACCGGAATGAAGAAGTACCCATAAATGATGCTGTGATCTTCCGAGCTCATTTGCTCTTAGATGGAGAAAGGGTAAGTCATGAATCTATCCCTGGCCATGAGGGGCTGTTCTGTTTCTTGACCTTTCTGTCTCCTGGTTAGGAAAATGGAAAGTGAAGGAGATGCAATGAATTCTGTCTAAAATCTGACAGGTAGGAATTTGTGATTTCAGAGTGGTCATCATTTACTTACGTGTTCATATTTTGGCAATCCTTTCATTCCTACAGCTGGTCTTCTGTGCTGTCCTGATTTGCACTGACTAACTTCCTGCCCCTCTTATTTACTCCTTGCTTTCCCCTCTGTATGTCTACCACACATGGTCAGTGAACCAGCTAGCAGCACTTTGCAAGTGTCTATTTTTCCCTAGGCTCTGTGTTGGACCCTTGGGACCAACCTAAAAAAGACTCTCTGCCTTCCAGGGCTTGAGAGTTCATCAAGTAAAATTATAAATAAACAAGCATCTTGGCAGATAATGTGCATTGCTCTGACTATATGCAGAAATCACCAGAAAAAAAAATGGCAAGAGGATGGAGAGCTGAACTCTGAGAATTGTGAAGGTGACATTCATCAACATTTGCACAGGAGAGCTGAATTTCAGAGGCAAGTGCTAAGAATCTATCAGACAAAGAAGAAGGACATCCTACAGAGGGAGAACAGAAGGAGTGAGGCCCTGTGGCCTTGGCACATCACTCCTTTTGCTGAAAACTTGGTTGAAATTTTTTCGTTCATCAAGTTAACATATTTCTATATGAAATCCAAACTATTGCTCTCCTTTTCCTGGTCCCTCCTAGAATCCCTATTGCTACAACCCAGTTAATAACTAAGTGTTTATTAAATAAACATTCTCTTGCCAAGGAGTGTTTTAGTTTTGGAAAACAGAGTCTTCTTGCTGACATTTCCTATGTGCAGTACCTCTCATGACTCCTGTTAGGGACCTGGCGTCTTCCTCATCTCTTGCCCATTAATCTTTTGTCAATTGTTATAATTTTAGTAGCTTCCAGTTTGCATTCCTTTTGTAAAAGCTGCCACTCATTCTGCACTTATTAATGCATGTGTCTAGCTCTCCAAGATTTATCAAAGAACTCACTAAGCACATACTATATGTTGGAGATAATATAGAGAACAAGCTTGGTGTAGTAGTCCACCCTTGTAATCCCAGTACTCTAAAAGCCTCAGACAGGAGGATTGCAAGTTCAAGCCCAGACTGGTCAACTTAACCATTTAGCAAAACCCTATCTCAAAATAAAAAGTGGCTATGGATCCAGATCAGTGAAAAGACTTTGGCTTAATCCCCAGTACAGAAAAAAGAACAAGAGATACTGCTGATGCTTGGGGATTACTTTTTATATATTAGATCATTTCATCAGGCATCTTGGGATCATTCATTCTTAATCCTATCACAATCTTGATCCCCTAGCAGCTTAAAATCTTCACAGTTTAACCTTGTTAGGTCTTAACAACTTAAGAGTTTAAACAAGGAGTTTGTCTCACAGGACATATTGTTTTCTTCTGCATGTCAAATTATTTTCTTCTAAAAGATAATAACTAATTATTGTATAATCCATGAGCACTAAACAGTGTTATAACTAATCATCACATCCAAATTAGTGATGGATCAAATTAATTGGGTATGTCTGTAAGAGCTGTACTCTTTGAATGAATGCATTAGCTCTTTTCCAATGTGCATATATCTGCTCATGAAGGTTCAAAGAACTACTAATATCCTGGTGTCCAGGAAGTGTGTTCACATGCCTGCTGCCATCAGTGTGAACAGTAGCTATTTACAGAATGGATCTTCACCCGCCCTGGGTGCCCTGCCACATGCCATAGGGAATTCATGGCACCTTCGGTGAAGCGCCAGAGGAGTGCCTGTGATGACATGGAGACAACTAAGCCAAGTTGAAGAACGCAGTAGGATGCTTCAACAATACAACAAAGAGTAAAAATAGAGGTGGTATGGGTATTTTTATACTCTGTACAATCTCACAGAAATTTTAGAAAAGTTAACAAAATATAAAGTACAGTAAAAGTGATAAATAACAAGAAAACCAGAGTACAGGGCTAGCATAGAAAGGAGAAGAAAGCCAGAGGTAAGCACAGAAGGACAAAATGCACACTCTGAACGTGGGATAACGGCGGCCTATGCCTTGACAGCAGAGCTCCCAGCAGCCGAGTAGAAGCAGACAGACTTAGGAACAAATTTCCCAGTGCTCTGAGGAAGAACAGGAACAGATTAGATCAAGAAGGTTCTGTTAATAAAGCTTCATCTTTGTGCACTTAAAAAAACAGCATTTCTTAAAGGTAGGTCCCAGTGCACCAGTATTATAGTCCTTTGGCAGTGATTGCAGATTCTCCTGTACTTCTAAAACCCCACAATTTGCACAGAAGTTTGCTTTGAAGGGAAGAGAATTAATTCCAAGTTCTGATAGGCAGGCCTGACTGAGATTTCCACAGGAAGCAGGCAAAGGTTTCTGAGGTAGAGGAAAGCAGGACAGTGGATAGCAAGTAAAGCAGAAAGCAGATTTGGGGAAACTGGATCAGCGGCAGTGGCGCAAGGTTTGTCACTGATACAAATCTAGAAGGAAGTGTTGAAGGTGAGCTACAGAGACCCCGGTGAAAGCCAACTGTTTATCTTCTCCTAAAGGAAGGAGGCCTTGTGGTCTCAGGAGAAAACATTCAGGACACCGATAGTGTGTAGGCAGTCACTGGGGTCATCTACATGAATACTGTGGAGCACAGCAGCAGAGATAGAAACCACTGAATAAAAACAGGACAAAGCTGAAGGATGACCTGCGCGTTGGCCAAGCACAGCTGATAAAACTTGGTTCAGTGATGTGTAGGAAATGGAAGTCTCTAAGTAGAAAGAAAGTTGATGGCGATTGGCTCTCATCCCTACTGGGCATTATCTAGTTCTGGAGGTCTCATTGACAGTCAGGGGTGTTTGAGAGATGTGAATTTCCCATTGGAGAGCTATCCGAATTGAACAGAGCTGTAATGATCGTCATGCCGATCTTAATGCTCATAGCGACTTCCACTGCTTATATGGGCTTTCATGGCAGATACTGTGCCCAGGGCTCTCTGTAATTTCTCAGAATCATGAAGCAGGATGAGGTACTTGATTATTCCCCTTTTGTGGATGAGAATATAGAAATTTAGAGACGCTAAGTTTTTTATCCTAATGTCACATCATCTGGAGGTGGTTGAGCTGTGACTTGAACCTAGGCTGTCTAAGCACAAAATATGTAATCATAAGGGGGAGTGGGGAAGACTGCTGTGTCCAGTTGATGGAAGAACAAGGAGGTCCATTATGTGTCCAGGCCCAGTAGGAAACTGAAAGTAATAGTGAAAACTGTCGCTGTTCTGTTTACATTTTCTTACTCATTTTACATAATTGCAGTACTGGAGAGCAAGCATTGTTATTTTACTCCTACTTTACAAATAAGAAATAATAAGAAAGGTTGAGCTAGAAATACAGCCAGGACTTCTACCATGGAGATTGATTTTCTTTTCTTTTCTTTTCTTTTCTTTTCTTTCTTTTTTTTTTTTTTTTTTTTTGCGGAACCGGGGGATTGAACTTAGGCCCTTGTGCTTGCCAGGAAAGCACTTATTCCACTGAGCTATCTCCCCTGGAGATTGTTTTTCGACATGGCCTTCTTAATTATCAGGCCACTATGGCGCTCAGGAGGGAAGTGAAGGAAGAGGAGGAGGACACATGAGTCATGATTCTGAGTACAGTGGAAAGAAACCAGAGAGAAGATATAGCCTAGGACATGGGTATGATGGTTAGTCCAAGCCAAGCAAGCAGAACCCTCAGCAGGATCTGGAGTGCAGCACTCATTACCTTGTTAGTATTGGGGAAGGGGCTTTATCATACCGAGCCTCTGTTTCCTCACTTCTAAACCCGAGATAGGAGAGTAGGGTTGTAGCAAGCCTGCTGAAGAGCTGGGCAAAATGTGTCAGTGATGGGGCCCAGGGGACATGTACAGAACACAGGATCTAGGGTGACTGTGCAGCTCCAGGCACTATGCATAGAGCCAATCAGAAAAGTGATGTTTCTAGATTTTCATTCATATCTGGGGAAAAGCAAGGAAGTTCGACTGCTTTAAGTCTGGCACTTTAATTCTGGTGCCAGAGTTCTTGATAAGACAGCATCTCCAATGCCTTATTTACATGAGGGAAATTCCCAGAAGTCCAGGTACAGGAGAGCCTTTTCCCTTATTCTCTCAGCCACTGTGACTGCCCCCCATATGCCATCACTCCACGGAGCATACTTATTGTTCACCGTCCATAAATGCATATCCTCACTTCCTTGTGCACAGGTCCTGTCCAATGCTTTGTTTAGGACACCAAGAACATGGAAAGAATTTCCTTGGGACCAACACCAGGTGCCAAATGGGAGACAGTGTTTCTTCATTCATAGTGTTGTCCATGGTAGTGTATATACAATGCTAGCCCATGGCCAGCCACATAGAAATTATTAGCCTCACGCATTATTTCTACTACTGTGCAGAACACATGATAATGCATTCCTGGTGGTAAGGACACAGCCCTTGAAGAGAGAGGACACCTTTAGGTGAGAGGTCGTGGCACTGGGAAGGCGTGTACATGTGTCCATTTGAGCACTGTGTACAAGTTCACACATAGAAGGACAAGTTGCTGAGAGACAGCCGTGAGATGAATGGTTAGAAAAGGCAGTGACTTCAATCAGGAGCATCTTGTAGGTGAGGTTCGTTGAAGCACTGGTGGAATTACACACAGGTTCAGCCTGACCACAGTTCCCAGGGATTTGTGGGGAAATTAAAACTAGAGCTCCCAGCGAGTTCTCATTACCCAGGCAAATGTATGCTTGGAAGATGGTGGAGAGGGCTTCCTTTGCCAGTCTTATTTCCAAGAAATTGGTGGCAAGAGGGTGTGTTGCTTTCATTGTGTGTATGAAGTGAGGTTCCTGATTATGCAAAACAAGTCTAGGAGAGGCGGTTATTTATAGCATTTGGATTCAGCAAAATGTTAGCTTTTTAAATACTTCTTTTAAACAACAAAATTTAAACCTTGAGGACCTAAAGATAAATTCCATCCATATGTCTCTGTCTGAATTAGCTTAACCAAGGAGTTGTTTCCAAGGAGGCCTTTGAATAAGAAATTTCTATCCCTTCAGGATGAGTGCATTTCTTGCACAAAAACTGCAACCCAAAGAGAAGGGAAGGGAGGAACTTCATTCCTAAAATGTATGGTACTTTCTATGCAGCAGGCTGCATTCCTGGAGCTCAGAATCAAAAGTGAATGAAGACCAGCTTCTTCCTTAATGTTATACAGAGAAGTGGTGACAGTTTGCAAGAAAATAGCTGGGGGCTAAGCCAGAGGCCAAATGGGAGCTGTTAGTGTATGCAGTGAAGCAGGGGGAAGCGCAATGCGACTCACTTGTGAGTGCTGAACAGAGCTCTCAAATGCCAGCTCTGCATGGGCAGATCCTGAGATATTATTTCCTGAATCTAGAGACCTGGAACACAAGTGTTAATTTGCCTGAATTTTCAATGTTTATAACTTGTTTGAAACATTTTTTAAAATACCATGGAGAATAAACAAAACAGGTCTGCAGAGAGCACTCGGATGATGGGCTTCCAGCTTACACACTTGAAACTTGAAAAGGTCACAGGAAACATTAAATGCTAAGACAGAAAGCAAACAGAGTTTTGTGTGTTACAGAGAAGGACTCTACCCAGCCTAGGAGGGGGAGGGGTCTTATCACACAGGGACAGTATGGACACTGCATGGGACACTGAGCAGCTGTAGTGGTGAAATATACCCCTCACACAAACCCAGTTGATGGTATTAGGGTCAAGGAAAAAATAACTTGGATTCAGCAAGTTAGGGATACCGTTTTTTGAGTGCATATCAGAAATGTATTTTTTTTAAGTTCAAGATGAAAGGGACTATGGGTAGGTCATAAAATATGAAAGGAAAAGATCTTACAGTATAAATGACTAAGCGGTCATTAGATTCTCAAGACAAAACTGCAGGAGTTACTTCGTTAATAACGTAAGCCATCTTGGGAGATGACGTCACTTCCTCTTCTGCACTTAATGAATATGGTAGCTGTCCTGCCAGGGACTTGAGAGTCAGAGACTGCATCATCCCTGACCTTATCCTGTGAATAGCCAAGGGATGTTTCACTGCAGGTTTCCTGTTCAATCCTTTCCAAAGTTGGTGCTCTGGGGTACGCTCCTTTTTCTAAGAGAATTCTAGTTCAAACTTATTTTCAACAATTCTACAAACTATAAATACACTGGAAAAAGGGGCCAGGCAGATGGCTCAGTAGAATAAGTGCTTGCCTAGCAAGTAAAAGGGCCTGAGTTCAATCCCCAGTTCTGCCAAAAACCAACCAACCAACCAAACAAACAACAACAACAACAAAACACTGGAGGCAAGGGAAAAGAAAGCAAGTCAAACAGCAAGAAAACAACAATTGAAGGATCTTGAGATATCAGGCTAAGTGAAATGAATTAGGCACAAAAGATTAAATAATATATGGTTGGTTTGGACAACCGTACTGTGGATTTCTGCTGGTCTATGGAAAGGAGCAGTTAATCTTTAATTTATTTTGTCTTCTTTTTTGATCCTTTTTTCCCTTTTTATCTCATCTTACTTTCTTATATATTTTTTGCTTTCTTCTTCCAATTTTACATGCATGTATCTGGTAATATGAATAACTAATCTGAAGACAGCACTATGCAATACAACACATACTGTGAAATTCATATTGTTTTGTTTAGTGAAATTCTGTATCATTTGTAATTTTTCTGCTTTAATGCTATTTTGTACTCTCTTTAAAAAATGATAAAATGTGTGGCTTCTCTTTGTATGAGAAACTCAAAAAAAATAAGTAAAAAAAAATAAATAAATAAAGATGAGCTTGTAGGAAACAAGGAGGCAGGGAAGGGACCTGGGGAGGAGAAGGGGATGGTGACAAAAATAGAGTATAAAACTAATTAAGATGAGGTAGGAACCAGCCAGATAGCTCAGCAGATTAAAGCACCTGCTTAGGCAGATGCAGAGGTCAGAGGCTTTGTCCCAGGTCTATTGTGCCAGGCCTGCCCCCAGGGCACACTGAAAAGGGACTGAGACTGGGCATGGTGGTATGCACCTGTAATCCCAATGTTTGTGAAGCTGAAAACAGGAGAATCACTACAAGTCTGATCTGTGTAGTGAGACCTTGTCGTCCCTAAAGATCTTGCACTAAAAAAAAAAGATATGATAGGTACGTGCTCCAATTTCCTAAAAAAATGTCATTATATGTCACAAAAATACTGATAAAATCATGTTTTAAAAAGAAACTAAGCTTTCCTAAACTGCTGCGTGAATGTGTTCCTTCCATTTGCTATGTAACCCTCCTGGACGGCCTGTTCATCCCAAATGCCATAGAACATGCATGAAATTCTATGTTAAGCCTTAACAATAATAATTTCATACTGAGATTCTGCTTCTCCTTCAGGACATAGGTCAGCTCATTCATGGGCACAAGAGCAGGCTTCTGAATTCTCTTGGATTTTGTTTCTCTTCCAGGTGGAAGATGCTCTGAGCGAAGTCGATTTTCAGCTTAAGGTGGACCTGCACTTTACAGACAGTGAGCAGCAGTGAGTGTCCTGGGGACCCTTGAACGGTGGGGGCGGGATGCCATCCCACCCCTGCCTCACTTCTGGGGACCTCACAGCCACAGTGCTTAGAACATCTCTCAGATACCAAGTTCCTCGCAGCTGCTTCGTGCTGCCTCCATTACGCTGGGGCTAGAGTCCCTGCCTGTGCATCCTAGGGCTATGTCTACCGGGCATGCTCACAACCAATCAAACGCGAGTCCCTGCCCCTGCATATCTGGACCATGGGCTGAGGACATTGAGTGATTGCTCAAGCTGTGTGCAATTTTGACAGGCATCTCAGCTTCCATATACATATTCAGAGAATACTCCCACCTTCCTGGCTTTGGAACTCATACTTTCTACCATTCATCCATTTGTGGTACAGTCATCATTGGTAGTTTTTGAATAATGACCGCAGAAGGCCACAAAATTCAGAGCCCCTTCGAAATCAGAGGAAGTGTTGCCATAGTTCTGCACCTTTTTACTGAATATCTGTTGCTGTGCTTCAACACCCTGCGTGTTTAAAATCCACGTACGGGTAGCCTGCTTATGACATAGTGGGAGGCCAGTCTTTTCTTGGTCATAACTGATTCCTTTCCGTTGCTTGTGGCTTTTTCCTCCCACTCCCAGGGAGACCATTTATGTCACTTAGACTCTAAACTCTTGAGTGATAAATTATCACTTCAGAGGCATTAAAAAGCCCAGCAAAGTATAATATCAAAGTTCTAAATTCTCATCCATTTTGTATCTTATTTTGTTGCTTTCTCTCTTTGCTATACCCCAGGATTAGGCTTAGGGTCTGCTTATTCCAGAGCAGAAAAATGCCCAGTGGGTAGAGCGAGACTCCACGCTTCTTCCCCAACCTTCCGCTCCACTGTGCTTTACATATCTGGAGGAGAGAGGGGCCCTGAGTAAGAGGAAGATGGAAGAACAGGCAGAGGATTGTGTTTAACTGATTGTAATCTGGGTCCTTCCCACAGTGGAGGCTGAATCACTTGGGGTATTCCTGTGAATTCTTTGGAGATATATTTATTAGATAGCACTCCACCTCAACCTAGCTCCACCTTTAGAGTTCTCTGAAATAGCAAAGCTCTTATGGCCAAGAGACCTATGTCTTGCGGGAAATGCCTTGAGACAGACATTTCTCTCCAGAACCCACATCTGTCTGTGGAACATGCACAAGTTACTTTAGCCCGCTTCCCACATTCATGGAAATTTACTCTCCAAGGCTGCTCCAGCTTCCCCAAGCTTCTCTCCTGGAGGCTCTGCAAGGTGAGTAGTGCTTTCATGGCTCTAGGGGACCTAGTACAAGTTCCCCAGAAGAGCTCTCCTCTTCTGACTTAAAGGGAAAAGAGGAAAAATTTCTTCTAGCTATATTCTATTGTCAGACTCTCAGTACACACTGACCACCTTACCCACATGTCTGGTCTCTACAACCACGTCACAAATGTTTGAGGAACTGGGAATCCAGTAGGTAGATGCTTGTAGTGTCAACTCCATCCCTTCAAATTTCAGAAGAGCTTTGATTGAGTGATGCTTCAGAGCCAAACATCTATCCCCAGGACATGCCTCAGATGCTTTGTCATCCTTAAATCCAATTTATGAAAATGAAAAATGATGGCGTTTCCAATCTTCCCTGACTCTGGCTTCCTGTTCCTCTTAGCTAATCTTCCTGATTTCTCCTGTTTTCAAAGACTATTCCATCTCTATTGTTGTGGCTATCTGTACAACCTGGGGCATTGCGTCAGAAAGGATCTGAACCCAGTCAGGACCTCTCCTGAGGTGTCAGAGACTTCCTGGTGCTGATCATGAGTGTGGGCATGTGTGGGTGTGCAGCTGGTAAGGCTTGGACTCCAGGCTTCTATGAGGATCTGTCCTTGGAGCTGACACAGTGTCTAGGCTCAGCAATGTGAATTTTGCCCCCTTACCTCCATCAGGTCTAGAAGGTTGCCTGGTGCTCTCATCACACACATTCCCCCCATGGACAAGCAGTAGATGCTTAGGAAATCATGTCTATAAACCAGGCCTGGAAGCACACACCTGTGACACCTTTAGGGCTGGAGTCACACATCTGTAGCACCTGTAGTCTCTGTACTTTGTGAGACCTAGGCTGAAGTGTCATGAGTTTGAGCCCAAAGACCCTGTCTCAAAAAAAAAAAATGTTTCGTAAAGGGTTAGAGAACAATAGGTCAGTACCAAGGGTCTCACTTCAATCCCCGGCACTGAAGAATGAAAATCATATCTATAATCTCAGAATCAAAACCTCCGGTTCACTTGTTCTCATGTTTCCCTCTTACCTGGGGTCCCTTTCACACCTCCCTGCTACCCACTGTTCTTAAGCCCACAAGCTTGGGAGGCTTCTATCCATAGCTCCCTGGTGGACTTCTGCAGTTAGCCACAGAATCCAGCTATGAACTTCAAATGTAGCCCAGACTATTGTATGAGAAGCTTCAGTGATAAGCCATAGTGGTCATAATAAGTAAGACATTCTTGCCACCAAAAGAGTGGTAAATGATGAGCATGGGTATAGGAAATGGCCCAAATTATAAAAGTATGCAGCAGCTGCATCCTGAAATCTGGGATAATTTATTTTTTCTAGCTTGGGTAGCCTTGTTCATAATGTGGTCAACAGTGTTAGATCTGTTATGAAGATTAATGGAGACAATACATGTAACAGGCCAGAGCATGGCCTGTGGAATAAATGTCTTCTTCCTTTTTGTCTTCTGAGACACAAGTCAGGCCAGACTTGAACGTGTTGCTTCTTCTGCTTAATACAAAGCACTTAATAACAATCAGTGCAGAGGGCGCTCATGAAACATAGGATTAGCTAAGAGGAACAGGAAGCCAGAGGCTGGGAAGATAGATAATGCCATCTTTTTTCATTTTCATAAATTGGATTTAAGGATGATAAGGCATCCATGGCATATCCTGGAGGCAGACATTTGGCCCAGAAGTTCATCTCTGAAGTATCATTAGGTCAGCAGCTTCTAGAAAGCGAACAGTGAAGAACAGAAGCATGATCGCTAATGCCAGGGTTGGAGGGGGCTCTTCACATGCATATCATTCAATGTTTCTCACGTCAGGTGGAAAGATGGCACTCTCCAGAGACATCGGATCATAAGGAGGGACATTAGCTGTAATGTCTGGATGTACAATATTGTCGTCCTCTTGTGGGTTAAGGCCAGAGATGCTGCTGAACATTTTAAATGTCCAAGGTACCCGTGCTCCTAACATAGCAGGATCGAGTCTCTAAGGCCAGTATCTCCAAGGCCAGGTAGCAGTTAACCTTGCCTGATCTTGTGTGTTCTGCCTCACACTTGTCACTTTACAAGGTGTCCTTGGCCCTTTCTGTTCACGGAGTCAGGAAGTTCCTTCCTTCCTACCACATCCCTTCCTGTCCTCAACAGCTCAGATGCCAGGGAATTCCCTTCCAGGGATAATTCTTCCTGAGTGCCTTCCCCTGATCAACTTCAATTGTATTCCTTGCTAATGCAATTAACTCAGTCTCGGTGGCCATTCAAATGAGGAAAGCTCTTCATCCTAGGTTAAATATAGGACTCTCTGTCTGTGAGCTTGGTATTTGTTATTGTTTACTGTAGTTCCTTTATGATAAGGCAGACATTCTCCTCTCAAAGCTATTATGTACTTCTGGATCTTCTGAATTGAGACCACTCCTCCACTGCTAGGCAGAAAGCTTGATATCCAGGAACAGAATGGCCTATATCCATTTTCAGAGCATGAAAGCCAATCACGTTCATCTTTCTTACTTCTTTACACATGTTGATGTGTGTTAAATTCCTGTTAGTCTGTGTTACATCTTTGCTATCCTGAGATGTGTTCAGCTGCTGGTTGCTCATGCCCCAAGGGGTTTTCTGTGACTCATGCCACCTGTGTCTGAAGGCACACAAAGCAATGTTGAGCGGCAATCAGAATAGGTTGGAGAGTCAGACAGACCTTATCTCGTATTTCAGTTTTGCTTTATGACTTAGAGCAAGTTAATCACTTTATGTTGGCTTTGCTTCCTCTTCTGCAAGTTGAATGATTTCTTTTTTTTTCCTTTTTCCTTTTTTTTTTTTGGTGGAACTGGGGATTGAATTCAGGCCCTTGCACTTGCCAGGCAAGCGCTTATTCTACTGAGCTATCTCCTTGGCTCCTAGTTGAATGATATTGATAAATACCTCACTCTGTGTCCTGGAGCATCATGGGGGAAAGCAGTGTGGTCAGTTCCTAGTGAGGTCTTAAGGAGCTGTCCTCAAATTTATAGTAAATGTAAGTGGTAGTGGCTTTCTGAGACACGTGTCATAGATTCCTCATCTCCACCCCATCAGTTTCTCACTATGGACAGTGCATTTGAGGTCACCCTTGCCTTGTGGCTTAGGTGGCCTTACTGGGCTTCTGTTTGTGCCCAGGCACCAAAGGCCCTGGATGCACAGCCACTGGGATGGTTGGTGGTGGCTTCTTATTTAATCTACCAGGCTTCTACCCTGGAGGGGTAGAAACACTCGCTCTTTACTACTCATGGAGGATACTTATTCTGATTTTCCACACGCTCTGGGTCAACACAACTGTCAGAACTTGAGGCTCATTTCTCCAGTTGTAGACTGGTTCTCTTGAGTACCAGCACAGCTTTATTTTTGAGAAGAATCAATCCCCTTTGATAACCAAATAATCAAAGATGCCAGCCAGCCTTGCCTGCTAGTTGGTTCTCTCTCAGGACCAGATACACACCCTTTGCTTTGTGCAGGAGCAGAGGCGGGAGATCCTTCACAGAAGTGGCCCAGCTGTTGGGACACAGTGTTGTGGGAGCCATCCATGCTTTTGGTCACTCAGCCAATCAGGTGCACATTTGCATCAGCACATCTTTGATCAACTTCCTCAGGATGCTAAATACTAGATTGGCATTGGAGATACTGAGCTATATTAGTTATAACTCCTGTCCTTCAGATGACAGAAAGCACAAGCTTATAAAATTGACTACAGTTTGGGTCAAGAAAAGAGTAGTGGGCCAGAGGGCCAGGAGGGCTGCAGCATGGAGAGTAGCCTTGGAAAGAGTACTGAATGCCCTTGCTGATGTGTGGGCTTGATTTGAGAGCCCAAATCTGCCGCACAGTCTTGGTGGCTTCATTTTCCAGTCCCTGGAAGAATGACCAGTACCAGGTAGGTATTTGTGTTACTGAATAAGGCAGTACATGTATGGTGGCTGGCCTGCTGGAAGGCTGAAATGTGGATCTGTTTGAATGACAGCAGGCACAATCCAGTGTCCCTGACATGAGGTCACTGTCTTGCCTTCCAGGCTGAGGGATGTACCTGGGGCGCCGCTGATCAGCAGCCGCACACTGGGCCTGCACTTCCACCCTCAGAGGGGTCTTCACCACCAGGTCCCTGTCATGTTTGACTACTTCCACCTGTCTGTGATCTCGGTGACCATCCATGCTTCCCTGGTGGCTCTTCAGCAACCCCTGATCAGGTATGAAGTGAAGTGCAGAACCACTGTTAACACAGACCAGAAGAGCTTCCCCTAGGTTGCAGGCCTAAGCATGGGCCCTGCCGAGAGGAACAGAAAGAGGTGTGGTGAGGTGTGAAGACAGTGTTAGGGATCTAGAGGAGCCCAGAGGCTGAAAACCTGAGTGCAACTCATACTGGGAAGACTTTGACTTTGTCCTGGGCTTCACTTTTTTCTTCCAGCTGTGCCTCCATTGAAATGTCACCTGAAATTCCAGAACTACATAATAGCCATCTCTAAACAGCTGTACCTATGTGTCCCATCTTCCTACAATTTGAATGAGTGCCAGTTGGGGAAAAAGCAGGCATGTAGCAAGAGCTTCGTTTTGTTTCTTCTTTCATAAATGGTTTAAAGGCAACAGACCCATATGTAAGGCCTTTTGCTTTCCCCTTCACTAACTTTCCATGAAATTTCCAAGTTCCCATAGAACCCCGACTCTATGAAGTCTGTGAGTGGAGGAACAGTGCTGACAACGGTGAGCACAGTGTGCTGTGCATGGCCACTCATGATGCTCCCAAGATGGCCAAACAGATAGACTTGAACATTTCAAATCATCACCCATGTATTGGTGCAAGTTGCACACATGATAAAGGGGGTAGAATCTTGAGAAATAGAGTGCTAGGCAGGAAAGAATTTCAATTTCCCTTTCCATGACAGTTTTCTGTATGCTGAGAGTTTAAATGGAGGACCCCAGTCTTTCCTAATTTTCATGCCAATGCTCATTGAAGACAGTGAAAAGGAAATGGTATTGCAACCCACAGTGTGAGATGTGATGGCAGCTGCTGCCTCTGGAGTGTCCAAACCAGTGGTGCTGTCCACCAGCTCCAGTCTATTCTGAGTCCTTCTGGCTAACTGGGTCACTTCCAACAGGGGAGGACCAAGACCAGTAATCCCACATGTATCATGTAACCAGAGTACAGATAACAAGACACGTTGCTGGGAATGAAGAGTACATTGGGCTAATAGATAAGGCAGGATAAACCCTGATGGGGAAAGTGTGGACCACACAGGGAAAATTTGTAGTGGTGTTGGCTTTGGACAGAGGAGCTCATGCATGGAAGGGAAAGTGGATGCACACACAGGAGTAGAGAGCACAGAGCGCTGAACAGAGCCAACATCCTGGAGCCATGGGCCAAGACAAATAGCATATGGCCTTCAGTGCTTTGCTGAGAAGTCTGGACATTTTCTTGCCCAAAGCCTGATAGAAACTGAGCTCCAAAGATAAAGGAGATGATTGTTTGAGGGAGTCACTCTTCATTCTGACTTCATCATGTAGGTGTTTGCTGGGGGCCTGCTGTGCTCTGGGGAAGGTGCCAGGTCTCTGCAGCACATGCTGGTACGAGACACCTTGGGTACCCTTTCCTTCAAGTGCAGGGTCACATAGGACTGCATGAAATTAGCATATGGTAGGTGTACTTGTAGCCTACATTGACAGAAATCATTATAATGTTCTTCCTTTGTAGGAACTCAGGCAGGCATATCTGGCCTTAGGAAGTAGCAGGAGAGATAGAGTTCAGAAAGCAGCAGAATATCGATCTTCAGGAAAGCAGAATCCCTAGGAGTTATCTCACTCTGAGGCTTGGCAAGTAGTGCTTCATGCAGAATGGAGGGTGTGATATGTCAGGTGCCGGCAAAGGACATCTAAGGAGGCAAAGCCAGTGCAGAGGGTGTGTCCTCAGACCAGCAGGTCATTCTGCTGAGGTCAGGTGGAGTTCAGAGTGGGACGGGGTTGTTTATCTTGAGCTGGAGTCAGGGCCCTCATTTTCTCTAGCCCCATGACTTATTTCCTGCAAACCTAAACATCTGTCTCAACATAGGAGCAAATAAGTAAGAAAGAAGACTTTTTTTTCAAAATCAGAAGTGGTGACAAACACATGAGTGTGGTGGAGTGTGGCACAGGTGGTAGAAATGTGCTCGATTTAAGGTGAGTGTTGTTGACCTCAAAAGTCAAACCTGGAAGCTGTGAATTGAATAGATCAGCCCCCCCCCCCCCGTAGTAAAAGGCTTGCAGCCTCCACAAAATGCCCATTAATGGTGAGCACGGATTCAGACTGACACCAGTTCAACAGTGGGGTTTTCAGGGTATGTGGGGGGCTCAGGCTAAGGGGGGGGGGTTAAAGGCAGGGGCTTCCAAGAGATCAGGCGGTCTCACGTGGAAGCTCTGTGCCCTGGCTCTTAGCTCAGTTCTCTGGACCATTAGGACTGCAGGTTCACAGAAGATACCAACACAGGTACAAGGAGGCTGCTAGATGGGCTTAATAAGGTAGTGCATATAAAATTCCTGGCCAAGGAATCAGCAGATTAGCTTTTATTTAGCATCCACTGTATTCCAGGCTCTGATCTAGGCTGCATGGCTGGCACTAATAAGCCTTTAATAAATGGCAGATGACTTTTGTCACGGGAAAGGCAGTTCAACTCAGGATCTGAAAGGAAAGCTTCACGGAAGAAATCGCTCTTGTGCTCTGCCCACGCATGAGACTGTGACAGTGAAAAATGAATCTGGGAGAGGAAATTGCAGCTAGCTCTAGCAGTGTAATTAGTGGCACAGCAAAGTATTGAAAATCCATTTGTTTTGTAAGAAAGAGGCACTGAGGGTTGAAGCGGGAGAACGACCTGATAAGACCTGCACTCTGGGAGGATGCCCTCCGCAGCTGAGTGGGCGGGGCTGCTGGTGACATCAGGACGGGGGCCGGAGGACAGGGGGAGGATGAGTCAGGAGAGGACTGAGAGGATGTTCACCACCTGGAGAAGGAGCGGCGAGCAGGCCTCACACTTTTTGCTGTCATATTAATGAGGTGTTGGGGCTGTGGGGAATCTCGGCAGAAAAGGTGGCCTCCGACAGGAGCAGGGCTTGGCGAGGAGAGGAGTGCAGGAGTCAGTGGAGATTGAAAGTTTTCCAGCGATGGGGTTAAAAATAGAGCACTCTCTGGGTTTGCGTCAAGAATTTCTCTCTTGTCTCTCAGCGGCTAAGAACAAAGGGAACCCTTTCAGGTGGTGGGAAACACCTGCCAGATAGGCAAGCACCAGCTCTGCCGGGGAAAAACACTTCGTCACAGCTTAAGTTGAATCCAAAAAGGCGGAAGCAGGTGTGAAATTAAGAGTGAGCCTCAAAAGACCTGTAACCTTCCCAGAAACAGACCAAAGCAAGAATCTAGTTTTTGTCTTTCTAACTGGATGTCTCTGAGCGATTCCCGTCCACCAGAAAGGCTAATCAGGGCTCACAAGATGTATCCAGCAGTTGCTTTTAGTTATCAGTATGCAATCTGTCCACTACATCTGCTTGAATGTTTTTCCTGTTCATGCAGCTGAATGGTAAACTACCTCAACGGTCAATTCTCAACAAATCAGAACAATGACCGTATCCATTTATTATGTTGTATTATATCATATATTATGTTATATTGTCATCCCTTGGTTCCAGGACCCCCACACATAGTGAACTCCACAGATATTCAAGGCCCTTATATCAAAGGGTATGGGTTTTTCTGTAATCTGTGTACATCTTCCTGTATACTTCAAATCATTTCCATGTCACTTATAGTCAATAGAATCCGAATGCCATGTAAATAGCTGTTTATACTTCAGTATAAAGGCCCTTTCTTCCAGATATTGTCAATTCATGCTTAGTTAAACATGTAGAACCCAGGACATAACTGAGGTTTTATCTGCCCTCACTGTGTGTATGAAATAAGGGCTTTTTATGGTTGTCATATTACCAACAATGGTTGCTAGTGTTTACTTCATCCTTACTTTTCCTGGATACTAAAGGCTGCCCTCTGGTTAATCTTAGAGGCCTCACAATGACTGCGAGGCTGGAGTTCTTTATCACCCTGTAACACACGGGGATCTAGAAGCAGCAGAAAGGCATACACAAGGGCCGGGGAGATGGTTCAGTAGAGTAAGCACTTCCCTGGCAAGCACAAGGGCCTGAGTTCAATCTGCAGTTCCAAAAAAAAAAAAAAAAAAAGGAAAGAAAGAAAGGCATGCACACTGCCATGTCACAGCAGACAGGCGTGCTGGGCCTGGCCCCTGCAGGCTGGCTTCAATGGCTGGCTGCTCCCCCCCAATCACTGTTCCATACCTGATACCACCTTTCCATGTGCATCCTTTATACAAAGTCTGTTCCGCACATTGCACTTCTCTGCTCGCCAGCCTCAGTTTACCTCCACTGCCTTCTGCCTAGTGGTTTGTCTTTTTCCCTCTCTAGATCAAAGTGTCTTTAAGGCGGGGGCCACACCTTATCTACCTAATTCCTAACATGCTGCCTGGCGTGGGATGTGAGCCTGATATTATTTTAGAACATAAATTAAACAGAAATATAATATTAACTTTATCTTCCTATCAATATTTTAAGCAGAGAATGAAATCTCTCCACAGTTTCTTTTTGTGAGCAGGTGTGGTGAAGCTGATGCCACTTAAGGCAACTGGTTATCCAGACACTCCGTGCAGCAGAGTTTTTAAATCCTAAGGCGGTGGGGGGGGACTATAACACAGGTATAAAATAGAATTCATAATATGAAGATCAACACGTAACAATGAGCACAAATAGTCAGTACAAGAGAACTGAAAGAAAAAATAAGTGTAAGCAGTCTCTCTTGATAGATTAATTAAAGAAAAACAAAAAGGTTAAGGAAGAGGAGATGGCTATAAGCCCAAATAAGATAAAAGCAAATGAGCACAGCACCTCTCCTAATCTTTTTTCATTATGAAATCGATGGTCGCTGTTGCACTGTGTCTGCTGATTTTTACAGTGAATCCTGTACAGGACAAGGTCTCTATTTTCGTCTGTCAAACAGGTGATAATACTCCCAAATAGCGTGGATACAGTGAACACTTCATTAGTAGGGACATTTGGAACATTCTTCTAGACTGCTGCATGGAGTTACTGTTTTGAGTTCTTCTATAGAAAGACCCAGCGGCAGTTCAGGGAAGGCCACAGTGAGAGGGCTCCCCACACAAGGTGCACCTCAGAGGCGCAGAAGCAATGGCCTGTGGCCCACCTGCACCTCTGCTGCTGGCCCAGCTCCCCATCTCTTGATGATGCAGCCCTAGAGCTCTGCCTCAGGATCTCTGAGTCCACTGACGGGTACCATTGTTCAGTCTGCACATTGGACATTTCTGTGCACAACCCACGGATTCAAAGTGCACATGGCCGTTGAAACACATGGGCATGAAACTGCCAAAAGACCCTGTTCAGACTCCAGCTAGAGCAGTGGCGGTAAACCTTTTAAAGACTGCGTAACCAAACTGCAACCCTAAACCTCTTATTTATCACAGAATGCAAATGGGGAAATCAAACCTGAATACTGGAATTTTAGTTGAGCAAAAACAACTGTTATCTGATGCTGGGCCAGTTTGGCTTGCTTGCCTGCAGAGAGAGCTCCAGGTGCCAGCTTCCTCGTGCGTGCCATAGGTCCCACAGGAAGAGGCTCCCCACATGAGGGGATCTAATTTACCCACCCTGTGGGCTTCCCAGTGATGCCCTTCACAGGGGCAGAGCTAATGGTGCCACTGCCTTTGGTACAACCTGTCTCTCCTTCTTATTCTTCTTCCTTTTAGCTTTACTCGCCCAGGAAGAGGATCGTGGCTCGGTAAAGCAGGCCCAGATGCAGGTCAAGATCAGTCCATCATCTCCCTGGAAAACTTGGTCTTTGGAGCTGGATACTGCAAGCCAACTTCCTCAGAGGTAACGTCTGCTAGGGTCCCTTAGAGACTCTCCTGTTTCATCCTCACTATCCATGCCTTCATCTTCACATTGTTGCAGATTTTACCATTTGCATTCCTAAAATCCAGCCCTTGTGTGGGCTCAAGGCATATGGTCCTTGTGCAACACCTCCTTGATCTGGTCCACTTGGAGAGGTTGGTCATTTGGAGGGCAGGAATCTGTGCTCTCAGACTATGCAGTGACATTGATTTGTTGGCATTAAGTCATGTCTGGTATGTTTCATAGAGGATTTTAGGAGTTCATATTGCCAAAATATTCTAGAAGCTGACTTAGCAGTCACATGATAAAATTTAATGTTTTGTTTTGTTTTTCCATTTCTTTTCCTGGCTGTTTCTGGGGGTGTGTGGCAAAGCAGACATCTCTGTCTCCTAGAAGTTTCAGGAGAGTGGCTTATTTGTGGGTGCTCAGCATTGAACTTGCTTGCAGTACTTAGCTCACTGGGTTATTTTCAGGTGACTTGCTTCTTTTCCTATGCTTTTCCCATTTGGGTTCCATCCAATAATGTGGATTCAGTGCTGTGCACCCACCTCCTACCTTCCCACCAGGCAAGGCTGCCAAGCAAAGAATAAAATCCACTCCCATGTTCTCCTGGGAGCAGTGCGTGCAAATCCCCAAGAAGCCCAGAGCATTAGCAAGCAGGCCTGGAAGGCACAGAGAGCCTGGCCAGAGGGTGAGGACACAGGTGTCCCTCCTCAATAAGCACTTGCTGGTGCATGCATTTGCAGAGTGAGAGTGTCACAGTGAAATGAGGGGACTGGCACAGACTCAAGAGGCAGTGAGAGGGACAAGGTGTGCTGCGTCCTTTCATGCCAGCCCAGATCCTGCACCCTGTGGCCCTATCTTTTCCTGCTGCATCTGGGACTGTTAACTCAGAGTGAGTCGAGCAAGCACTTGTGCTCCTTCCAGGCTCCAACCCGCAGCTTTACAGAAGCCCTTAAGCTGTGCCATATCTATCAGAGGAAGACCAATGTCAGCCTTGTGGGGTTGCTGAAAAGGTCAAATGAAGTAACATGGAGGGCCTTAGGCATGGAGCCTAGGGCAAAAATGTCCAAGAAAACTCCCCTTTGGTGTTATTGTTCTTTTTATGTGTCCAAATAATTAAATAGTTACTCTAACACCTCCTGTTTGATCTGATGGAGAGAAGCCTTTAATGTGGTTTTGGTATTAATATGTTGTGTGACCTTAAGCCAGTCACTAACGCTGTCTAGTTCTGCTATGCAAGAAGTATGAAAATTAGATGAAATCTTCCAGGAGGTTTTCTTCAGCCTCTTCTCTGTTGCTTTTATTGCAGTGCCCTTGCATATGCCAAATATCTCTCGGGCACTTGACCCATAAATAGTGCATCGGTGCAGTTTCCAAGTGAAAGAGAACGAATAGGAGTATGAATACTCGTGTGTGTGTGTGTGTGTGTGTGTGTGTGTGTGTCTTTAATCTTCAATAAAACCTGGAGTTTTGAGTTGTAAAGTATTATTATGTATCTCAAGACCCCACGGGTATAGGATGGACAGAAAGAGGGAATTATTTCAAGGATTTGGCTCTCACAATTGTAGAGACTACAGTGTCCAAAATCTTCGGGGTAGGTTTGCAGGCTGAAATTTCAAGGAAAGCTTGCATTCACATTCAAAGGAAGTCCTCTGGCATTTTCTTCTCTAGGGTAAATATGTCTTTCTGACTAAGGCCATCTACTAATTGGATGAGGCCCACTTACATGACTGAAGATCATCTACTTTCTTTCAGCTCTACTAAATGCAACATTAATCTCTTCTAAAACATACTGTTGCAGAAACATTTGACTGAGTAGCTGGGTACTGTGGCTTAGCTGTCCGAATTGAAGTTTAGCACAACCATCACCTCTAGTCAATCCTTAGAGTCAAATAGGCTATCGTTGAAGACCAAGGATGCAAAGTGTTTGTGTCACGAGAACCCCATATCCTCAGCCCAGGAGGACTGCCCAGCCCTTGACACTGCACTAAGTTGGGTTGCCTGAATTCCCAGAATAGGAAGGACTACGTGGTAGAGAGAAACACCTGGAGGACAACACCCTTGTCTTCTAGGCAGAGCCCCAATGCACTCCCTCATGACGTATCTCCAATCTATCATTTATTTGTCCCCTTCTTTATTCTGGTGTCTATGTTCTCCAAGGGCTGTGAGGAGGAATAAAATTCCCTCCCTGCTGTTAAGGAGACCTGCAAATTTTTGTGTGAGATGAAGAAATTAGTTAAAATATTAAATCTCACACAGGTAGAGAAGTAAGGTGCTGATCATGCCAGCTCAAACTTTGGAAGCCCTACTCTCACAGCAGGACTTCACTGACCATTTATGCATATGGACTTTTTCCATTCATGCAATGCCCTTTTAGTATATTTCCTTTTAAATGAGACAGAGAGGTTATTTTCACCGTCACACATCTGGGCAGGAGTCAAACTGCAGTTTTAACCCACAGTGGTGATGGTAACTCTGACACTGACCACCAGGTCAATGACTAAACAAGTGGCCTGCATTAGCATGCCTTCTTCCTTACTCTGAGCTCCACTCAGGCAGGGAGTGTTGCTGCTTTATTAACTTGTGTATCCCTGGTAGTAGGTGTATGCTCAGGAGACCATTGTGGAATGGCTAATGTTGGAGGTTGTAGATATAATTCAAGGACAAATAGGTACAGGAGAATGAAGGCGCCTGTAGCAACGGTGTTAGGCCACCTCCCTGTCTCAGCCACAGACCAAGAAGTGCTCCACATGCTGCTGGGGTGGGTCAGCTCCACCTCTGGTAAGAATGTTGGCCACCAGTGTGAGATGCCCCCTCCCATTTGTGATTTAAAAGACAGTCTTCTAAGCAGAGGTGCTCACGTCTTTGAAAAGTTGTCCAAGGTCATTTTTTTATAATCATTGTTCTTTTAAATTGGATTGCAGAAAGATTCTGAGTAGCGTTTCCGTGAAGCGTGTAATGCTCAGCTCTTCCTGTGTTAGGTGAGCTTGGCTTCAGGGCTCCTTTCATGCTGAACCTTTTGCCCAGGGTAATGCTTTTTCACTGATGGTTGGTGTGTGTCTAACAGGACAGACTGGAAAGGGAAACTGAGGCACAAACCTGACTTCCGGGTTGAAATTTCCCTCTCACAATCTTTGTCTCCATTTTATTGTATTCTCTGCATATCAACTTTTCTTTGAACATGTTTTCTCAAAAAAAAAAATCCTCATATCATTTTCATGAGGATCTATAGTCCCAGGTGTAAGATAGGGGAACCCACTCATTGCTATTGTTAAACATATCACTGTGGGGTTTCAAGACTGTGGTCTGTCTCACAGTAAAGATACCACTCTGCTTTATGCACTGATCAAATACAAAGGCTGAGCAAAATGTATATACATTTTAAGGAAAATAAAAACATATCAATATTTCAGCACTAACTTTATTGAGATATCATGAGGCTAATACAAATTACTTTTGATTATAAACATATATTACATTATAATTACACTATAAGACATGCTCAGAGGGCAGACCACTAGCTTCTTGACATTTATTAGTACAGCAAACTGCTACATGGGAAACACTGGCCATTGAAATTGCTGCGCATGAAGTTTTAGTTTTTTCTCCAAGGGCTGGCAATGCTGTGGGCTTCCCTCAATCTACCACATTCTCCAAGGTTCCCCATATGTATGTCACACCAAGTATTAAAAGAATCATCCAGGTCCTCTTTTCCTGAAGTGTGCACACAATCTTTAGTGGTTTTTGTGTCATGTCTCTAACGCTGCGCAAGGAATTAGAGACTTAGCAGGAGGAAGTGCTGCTGTGCCTTCTGGGTGGGCAGCTTCACTTCGAGAGCCCTCAGTGTCCAGCACAGAGCTGATAGCAGATGCGGGAGCTGCTCACCCAATGGTGGGTGAGTAACTAAAGGGAAGATGCTTCTACTTACGTCCTCTTCCAGCCACTAGAAGTGCCCACAGCTGACAGCCATCGAGCATGTCCTAGTTACCTTTCTCTTGTTGCTGAGACAGAGTATCTAACAGCCACAGTTAAAAGAGGGAAGATGGGCCAGTGACATAGCTCAGAGCACTAATGCGCCTACTCAGGGAAGCTTAGGCAAGTGCAAGGACTATTCGATTTCTGGCACCACATGTGGTGCCATCCCTGCTCCCAGGGTGGGCTGAGCCAGCCACAGAGACCAGGCATGGTGGCACTTGCCTGTAATCCCAGCACTGTGGAGGCTGAAAACAGAAGGACCACTACAAGTCCAAGCTGTGTAGTTAGACCCTGCAACAACCAAATACATTTAAAAGATAAATAAGAGGAAATATTTATTTTGGATGACAGTTTGTAAAGGTTTCAGTCCATAATCATCTGGATCCAAAGAGAGGTGGTACAAGGCAGAGGGGCAGCCATTCATGGTGGCAAAAGACAGCAGAAGCAGGAAGAGAAGGGAGGAAAGGACAAATCCCTTTTTGTTGTTATCTACAGGCAACCTTTCCTAGGGCAGATGTAGCATTCACAACCTTAATCCCACCATTGTAATAAAGTCAATTGCAAACTTTAGATTCGGCCACCTCTAAAAATCCTATACCTCATCACCATTCTCCATCCACGAGAAGTGCCCATAGCTGAGTCTTCAGGGGGGCATCTGGACACAAACCAAAAGGCACAACACTCATGGTGCATAAATACACAATAGCTTTAGGAACCTACAGACTATTTTAATTTCTTTTAAAATCAGGAAAAATAAATAAATAGAAATACGTTCTAGTCCACATTGTGTTTATTGAATGCCAAGGTAATTATAAAAGCATAATTTGAAACAATTGCTTTAGGGATAAAAGTTCCTGTGAAGATCAATCTACTGTGACCACCAAAGTCATAACTTGGCTCCCAGAGTGCTTACTTCTAGTCCTCCTTTTTTGTCTCCTGTTCACAGATGGAAGGAAATAAAGCCTAGACACATTGTAAACCTGGAATGTTCTTTGCTATGGGTG